TTCTCTCAGTGGGATTGGCAACCGTTTCGCGCCAGATCAATAACCGGTGCCACGGGCATATCGGGTGCTGGAGGGAGGAGTTTCATTCTCGATTCCCTCATCGAGCGTTGTTTTCTAAACGTAGGGTTTCTCCTCAGTCGCGGACTTTCGTCGAAAACACCGGCGGAAATCGGGGATATGAGATCATAGCCCCTAACGGGCGACGCTTCATTAGTAGCGTGGACCGGAGAGACTGCATCGGGGAACCACTCAAGGCTAGAGCTCGAGGACCTCGAGCCGTTAAGGTTGGGCGTTACTCCTGCACTGAATTCAGATGTTGAGGTACCCGACCCTAGACCAGGAGAGCTATGGAAAGGCGAATTTTGGGGACGATCTTGGACTGGAGATCGGTGGAGGTTCGAAGGAACGAAATATAGAGGCTGCGTGGAGCTAGCAGATAGTGGAGTTATAATGGAAGCGCTGCCAGCCAAAGGAGAAAGGCAAACACTGCCGCTTTCGGGTAACAAAGGCCACATTCGTTCATTCGAAGTCGAATCGGGTGAGATAGCTGCTATGTTCGTTTTCAACATTTGAGGATCTGCGGCATTATTCTTGGAGACTGTTCCCTTCGGCCATTTTCCAGGGTGGTACGATGGAGCTGGTCCATGTGTAGTCCGCGACCGAGAAGGCTGGTGGCGCCGGGACCCGGTTGATTGATCTTCGTAGAAAAAGCCAGATTCCGTCGTAGGCGTCTCACGGCGGCTCGCGGACCTCATAGGCGCTCCATATAAACTTTTTGTATGTGAACCACGCTGATCAAACTGGGTGTCAATCCGGGGCGGCTCGAGTCGGGATCCAGGTTTCTTTTGATAATCATTTTTGTCGAAGTGCTCCATTGCCATATCCACCGGGGCGTTTGAATGTAGGAATGGCATGTTTACTTGCCATATTGATTTCACAATCTCGACCTTTTGAACACCCGTGAGATTCTTCTTCGGATTCTTCGAGTCTCTCGGGGCTGACTTGCTTGACATTCGAAGCGAGATGTGAGAGGACGGAGAACGCAAGTTCTTGGACCACGCCGCAGGGAGCGGAATCTGTTGTTTCTTCGAGCCCTCGTTGTCAAGGTGCGACCCAGGGTGTGGGTGGTTTGGTAGGTAGTCTGAGCAGGGCATTATCGGATCAAGACTTTGTGATGATTATCCTAGGGATGTCCCATGTTAGCCACCCCAAATAATAGCTCACTATCAAGCATTCCAGGCTCGAGTACGATGCAGAGAAGTATCTTCAAAATGGGAAAATCAACAAATACAACTCCGGGTATAAAGCCAGCATCCCATACAAAGTCAAACGAAAGTCCATCAAAGCAGGCAAAACAATAGCAGTCTTCGATCAGGTCGCCCTTTTCCATCAACCTTCCAAGAAGACTAGCAAAGAGACAATCGGATAGTGCTGTGAAAAGAAGGACAAGCACAATGCAAACGGATGGCTGACAACAAACGACACAAGGCCGACTCCCGCTCTCGCCTCTAATGCTTTCTACTAACCTTTGCATGATCACTGCGATAATCTCTTCCAGGCGAATCCTTTGCTGAGTAGCAGTTTTAGTCGAGCTTCTTTGATGGGTTTCGAAGTCAACTGATCTCCTTTGACGATTGAACTGCGGTCCCTGGAAGATGCGGAGAATTAATCCACAATCAATATCCAGCAGTAGCAAAGTATCGTCACTGAAGCGAGGATAAAGAGAAAGAGAAGGGATGTTCTATTCGTATGAAGAAAGACACAATGTATACTCCAGCAGGGGAGACAAGATCCTAAATCCTTGAAGAAATCAGGTCTATAGATATCGTCTTATTCCTGGACTAACGGGCGATGCCTCCCTGCAGGTCAATAAGCGGGCTGTTCTGCATATAGCATGTTCCTCCGGGTTCGAGCCTTGCCGTTCCCACGCTTGGGGACGGAGTTATTGCATGCTTTTGCTTTTTGCCCTGCTTGCGAAGTGCATGGACAGGGATTGATGCAGAACTTTGGGGGTTTTTCCCTGCCACACTCCTGCAATCTTGTACTAATGCACTGTCACAACAGTCTTTTCACACATGTTCCGATCAACTCGAAATGTAAGTAGCTCCGGCGTCTAGAACGTGACGGTCAGCAAGTAGGGCCGGTCAAGTCGTCAGTCCCTAATCGACTGATAAGACCCCCTTTGCCCCGTCCTCGACCCGGTATGAGCAATACGGGCTAAACTTGTCCGATGGACTGTGCGACGGAGAAACGCAATCGTGGAACAAGCTTAGCGAGAGGTGAGCAAACGAGGGCTGAACTCGAGGTCCAAAATAGACTGATAGACGGCATGGAATCAGGTGGTGCGAAAAACCCGAACTGGCTGGTCATCGATCCGCGGATGAAAGAAACGAAGCTGGTGGTAGGCTTCAGCACCCTTTTGCTTGCGGGCGGAAATCCTGGCCCGACCCCCGAAATGAGCGAGCTAGCGCCTAAGCTAGCTGGTAGCCTTTAACGGGGGCCCGGGCGTGACTGCGGCGGGAAGGTACCTAAACTTTAGGGGCTCCAACGTGCAGCTGACGAACCCCTTGGTTGGGTATCCTGAACTTCAATGAAGGGGAGGGAATTGACTAGTTAACTAGATCACCGTCCAAAGGCGAGAAAGACCACGGCTTCCAAAATGCAGAGCTTAGCGGGTTAACAGGACAAGATGGTCAAACATCTACACCTGTAAGAGTTGTGCTTCCATCTCGTATCCCCAACACCAACATGAACCTCCAAGCCCTCACAAAATACGACGAGAGAGATGCCAGATGGTCAGAAAATCTTGAGAACAGGCTGACCTCCCATTCTTCAGCCACATTAGTTAACTCCGAAGATTCGCGGGTGCGCATCAATATCCATCAGTCCACCGTTTAGATCTGTTTCATGTTTTGGAAACATGCATCAATCCTAGGACGCCACACCCCCCGGGTTTGAGCAAGCTTGGTCGTCATTGGTGACTGACTCTTCTCATTCACGCGTATGTACGGAGTAGCTACTCCGTACATCAACTTGAATAGAGACGCCAGTTAGTCAAGCGGTTTTCCTACTACTTCCCACGCAGCTCGAGTCGCATCAACCATCGATTGAACTCTGACCAGGACCGTACCTGCATATATCAGGAAGAGACCGTTCCGTTCATCAAGTTCAAACGGGACCATCCATGATCCGGGGTCCAAGCAGGCCCTGCCAAGCGCTCTGTTGCTATTTATGCCGTGCTAGCACCTTGGGGCGCAGCAACAATCTGCAAACCAGCGCCTTGGCCAGCGAGTTTGTTCGCCGGGAATAACTAGGTGGTTGATTCTTGCAAGCAACGCCCAACCATCTGGCAAAGAAGTGAGCAAGCCTGTTGGGACAGAGTTCGGGGCCTGGTTGCGCTTGAGCTCCATTTCAACCACATTGACAAGATCAGCATCCGCACGAGGCCGCGTATGATGCAGTTAACTCGTCGCTTCGTGGGCCAACTTGTAAACTAAAAGCTAACCGAGTTAACAAATGGGACGTGATCCTCGTCTGATCTTCGCCCCCGAATGTGACTCAGTTGCGAAAGCCATAATCCAGGGCCAGTCGAAAATCGCCCACTCTTTTGCTCAATGCCCACTGGTCCAACTCCTCGAAAATTTCCCTGGCGCTTAACCGTCGCACCCTATTGCCTCGGTGAGCTGCTTGCGAAACAACAGGCAGCGAATAAAAACCCAAGTCGCAAGCTGCCACGCTGAAAACGCCGCGCCGTCCAACGTCCCAATGGAGTTATTTCCCTAATCAGGTAGCTCGCGTTGTGCTTTGTGCAAGGAGACAGAAATGACGAAAAAAGCGGTTGATCCATGCTAGTAGCTATCCCGAGATACGCCGCTCTCGCTCTGCTACTCATGCGTTTGGCTTCGGTATCCTCTGCTCTCCGTGCGGTGAGCACACCAATAAGCCTTGACTGATTCTTGTAGTTACTGGGCCGGGTTTCACAGCGTGCTTGATGCATTGGTCCTGTGATATCGAAAACGGACATTTCTTCGACGCTTAATGGATGAGCGGGCTTCAATGTTGGAGACTTTCTATTCCAACCTTTGAGATAACTGTAGCACGCAGCATAAATCCCCGTGCGTTTCCGCTTTGATGGCGCAACAACGGGAAGTCCTGAACATTCGTATCCGCTCTTAACCATATAGCGACTTAGTAGTATCGTATTGCAGCTACTCTCGAATCAACCATCTTGCAAGAGATCTAGAATCAACCATGGGAGGCAAATACCAAAGAACGGCACCACTCCACTAAAGTCTTTGACATTCGTAGGCTACTTGTGTTGGCCATGATAGACAAAGGAGCCAGATTGTTGCTGCCTTGGGAGGCATGTGAACTGGTGGCGAGGATGTGACCTGAGCCTGCTCATTAGTTAGCTAGTTTATCTGGAAAGCCAGAGCAGGGAATTCGAAGAGTCCTACTATTGAAGATTGGAAACCGAGACAGAGTAGCCAACTCGGCTTGTTCATCAGTAAACTCGTTCTCCATCTGCAAGCAAAGTGAGTTCGTGGAGGAACTATTAACTACGTCACCTGTTCGGGTCATCCATCGCAAGCTGACGGATCGAGCGAACAGTCAACGGAAACAACCAGCTCTTCCAGCTACTAGAATCTCCCCTCAAGAGCCGTCTCTCTCATAGCCATCCACACGCTTCGACCGACCCAGCAAGACACCGCGATTGCACCAGCCCGCCATGGCTGGCCGTTCCACCCAGTTCACGCCGCCGCCTTCCCCGCCATCTCCGACAGCTTCGTTCTACGACATCAGCGACGATGAGGAGGGCGAATACAATACCATCACACATACAAAGACAGGGAAAGGAGTAAAGCTATTATTTTCAAAGAGCAAGGTCGGTGATTTTCGATTTACCCGCTGATCTCCCCCCGAAAAGCATTTACTGATGCCCTGATACCCAGGTCTACGTCCATCCTAGCCCCTCGTCAAAAGACAACATACCCGGCTTCATTGCATTGATTGAGCAAAAGCCTTCTCCCCTCGACGATGGAGACAGGCCCTCCTCCTCATCCTCCTCGAAGACCGTCAATGCCTCCTCGTATCTCCTCGCCTGGGTGCCCGAGTCATCCTTAGGAGACGCCCACAGCACCTACGTAAAGGTTGACCTTTCGGATAGCTCGTCTCCTCCCCGTCAGTCGTACCTAGTTCCGCCGCTGCCGACTATAACATCTCATGGGGACTCTATCGGCCTATATGCATTCGCGGTTCCCTTGTCGCAAATATATTCATTGTTGGTCCGTCCACCCAGCTTGGGTTGGTGGTTTGGAAGCTTGGTCATAAATACAAAGCTAGGAGATAGCTCTCCGGCCTTGTTCTTTCATGACAGTGAATGTGAATCAACAATTCTACAGAAAAAGAAAAGGACAAAGGAGAGCTTTGATCCGTTTGAGGACGGGCACATGTTTTGGGGTGGCGATGAAGTCTTGAGATGGCTAAAGAGATATGTCGAAGTTCATCGCTCTGGCGCAGATCCAAACGTTTATCTTATCAACCCCTCTCAAGACGATAAAACATCGTTTGGCCATTTACCGGGAATTGACAAGGCGGCAAATTCACCCAGCCACGCCGGGACCGACCCTAAATCACAAAGAGAAGCAGGCATGGACCCATTTACAAAAGCTTTGAAAGAAACGCGATGGAAGGTACTAGAGCAACTCAGCAAGATCACCACTTTCACTAGACGGACCGCGCAAGATCTAGCCGATAACCCCAGGATACCACCGCAGGTGAGGCGCTTGATGAGAAACCCGGAGATCCAAACACTCCAGGACGAATTTGATAGCGCAAGATTATATTTGGCCCGGTGGGCCATGGGCATCGCAGAACAGAGTGAGCGTGAGAGAAACCAGCGAATCTGGACCGCAAAAGATGTCCTGGCAATGGAGGATAGTTCTGTGGGCGAGTTTGAGATACTGAATATGGAGGCAGCAAATATGACACTGAGTGATAAACGAAAATGTGTTACCAAAAGTGAATGGGATAGCTGGTTCGACACGGATGTTGGCCGATTACAGATCACTCCCGACGAAGCAAAAGAGCGAGTATTCCATGGTGGGCTTGATCCCAATGATGGTGTGCGAAAGGAAGCTTGGTTGTTTCTGCTAGGAGTATACTCCTGGGATAGCAGCGAAGATGAACGAAAAGCGATAATGAATTCGAAAAGGGACGAGTACGTACGACTTAAAGGAGGCTGGTGGGAGCGCATCGTTGAGGGGACATCGACGGAACAAGACCATGAATGGTGGAAGGAACAAAGGAATCGGATAGGTAAATGAAATCTTCTTTCCCTAACCTATTCGCGATTGTAGCATGGAGGCTGACTAGATTGTTCTTGGGACTTCGACATGTAGAGAAGGATGTCCATCGCACTGATCGTACGATACCACTATTTGCAGGAGAAGACATCCCCCATCCAGACCCTGACTCTCCTTTTGCGGAGACTGGTACAAATGTCCATCTTGAACAGATGAAAGATATGCTCCTTACTTACAACGAGTATAATCGAGACCTAGGTTATGTCCAAGGGATGAGCGACCTTCTTGCTCCCATATATGCCGTCATGCAAGACGATGCCGTTGCATTTTGGGGATTCGTCAATTTCATGGATCGAATGGTAATACTTCATTGTCGTCTGATCGGATTCTTTGACAGTATTCACTAACGGCATTTTAGGAGCGAAATTTTCTCCGTGATCAATCGGGCATGCGAGAGCAGCTGCTTACCCTTGACCAACTTGTGCAACTTATGGACCCCCAACTCTATATCCACCTTCAAAAGACAGAAAGCACGAATTTCTTCTTTTTCTTTCGCATGTTCCTTGTGTGGTTCAAGCGAGAATTTGAATGGGTCGATATACTTCGGCTCTGGGAGGGCCTCTGGACTGATTACCTCTCCAGTAATTTCCATATATTCATTGCACTCGCTATTCTAGAGAAACATCGGGATGTCATCATTGCCCATCTTCATCATTTTGACGAAATTTTAAAATACAGTATGTCATCTCCCGCCTTTGGATCTCTTGTCTTCGCCGCCGCTAACTTGTTCTGTACACAGTCAACGAGCTTTCCAATACTATAGAACTTATCCCTATCCTCAGCAGAGCAGAAGCGCTTTTCCATAGCTTCCAGAAGAAGGTTGAAACCATCGATAAGAAATACAATTTCCCCAGCGCACCCGTACGGCAAAGAAAGCCTATCCCATCAGATTCTAGGAATCAATCACTGCCAGAATCGCCCTCTCAGCGCCCCACTCGTTCGTCCATGTCATCCTCTGCAGGTACACGGAATGCTTCCACCGCCTCTGCTACTGTGGTTGCTAGCGGTGTCCAGAACCATGCTGAGGGATCTGGAGGTGCTCAACGGCCCTCAGACGCCGCTCCAGATGCCGGGCAGGTCATTTCTCCTTTACTTCGAGACCTACTGAGTAGAGAAGTGAAGGGCTTACGGAAGCACGATCTAAATGCTTAGGTCAATATAATATCTTTTTCTGGTATCTCTCGTATTAACTTTTTGGTGTATTCGATTCATTGCCAGGGGGTTGCCGGAGTTTTAAGGCGAGTTGAGGGTACGCTTTTCATCACTCTGGACCGTGGTTAGTGGTGAATGCATGTGTTTCCAATTACATAGTTAGCTAGTGGCGCCTTATTAACGCTTTTTAAGATTCCTTTAATTGTAATATCATACTTTAAAAAGCCTCATATTCTGCTTTTAATGAAACAATTCACTTGATATATATTATTCTTGAGCTGATCCTTGATACTAGCTCACGTGTATCTATCTCAAGTAGGAAATAACAATCTCAAGACTTGGATGGTGGAAACGCAAAGAGTAGGATATTTAACCAGGGTATAGAGCTGAAAAGCTTGAAAACAGCGATGATGATTTGAATGCAATGCACCCTGCATGTTCCACCATAAGATTTGGCGAAATAGTAGAAAAGAAATCTTCAAGAAAAAAAAGAAAAGAAAAGCACCATGAAATCAAGACACTGAGAAACGGTACGATCTATTGGCACCCAAACAAAAATTTTCCATCCAGATGAAAATGCCCGAGAGGGAGGCCCAACAACATGCACCAGGCATATCGGGGCGGAATAAAAGGCTTCACGAAACAACAAAATATGCAGGTAATGCTGAATAAGTTAAACATCCAGCCCTAAACGCCCGCTCAACCGTCAATTTCAAAGTTTGAAACACGGGATGCTGAAAAACCAAAATATAGGAATTGGAGGGAAAGCAGGGTGGAAAGAAAATAGACTACAGTATAATAACGCCAAAAAAGGGTGGAAAAAGGTAATTGGGATTAAGGATATTGTTTGAACGCGGGAATTGGTCAAGGCTTAGGCTCTCCCTTTGCCCAAACCTTTCAAAAAGACGCGTTTGTTTGTAGAACCACCCGCGAAATCACTCACTCGCCTGGAATTCACATCGGTTCTGGCTTTGAGATGTGATGTAGTCTCCGCGATATGTGATGGACGATAACCCCGCAAGGAACCTGTAGACAGTTTGGATCGCAACGTTGCGGATGATTTGCGTGCTTGGCCCATCACATCTTCCACCCAGGCTTCACTTTCAGGGCTCATGGAGACGTTTCTCGATTTAGGAGTGGGGCCAGCAAGTCCCAGCGGGATGGACTGAGAGAACATGGATGTGGTGGAAGAAATAGAAAGGCGCCGATTTGGAAACAGCAGAGAACCAGGGTCTGATGCTTGAGAAACCTTTTCAATGTTTGCAGCCGTTAAAGTAGGACGCGCCACTGTGTTGGCGTTCGATAGTCGTGTTTTGCGGACCGCTAGAGGAGACGGAGGCCGGATATCAAACGGTGAGTTAGGGCGAGAGATCGGTGTCGTTCGCCCATTATTGATCGTCCTCGCCGGAGAGCGATGAGGCGATGACCGGTGAGGGGACGATCGGTGAGTCGGTGATGTATGGGGAATTTCCTGTACCTCCAGTTTGCTTTCTGACATTCGTCGTCGTCCATGATGCATAACGTATTCTTTGAGGTATTCAGCTAGGTCTGCCCAGCCACCTCCAACTCGTACCATGACCCTCTCCCCTTCTCCGCCGACAGTACGCACAAAAAGTTTCAACGGTGGTTGTTTCCCGCCACGGTGAAGATGATAGAGCCTGACAGGATTATCTTCTTGTGGTGCACGCCGCTTGGGGCGTTTGTACGCAGGAGTAAGTGTGAGGGTAGGGGTAGGGGTGGTAGGTCGAGTTGAGACACGAGGCGGAGATTCGCGGCGATCGGGACATCGTTCAATTTGTAGACGGCTCCCTGGGTTAGGCTCATTGGGGCCATCAATAGGAGTTGAACTAAGACGGATGCGCGCTGGGATGGTGGTGAGGATCGAGCTAATCTTTTCCTCGAGGTGATCTTCGGGTGATTTATCCGGAGTTATATATGGCGCTCGAGATGTTACTTTAATCGCTGTGGAAGGTGGTAACGCGCTGCCTGAATTCGACGGAGTGATAGGATGAATGGAATTCAAAGGGATAGTTGGCGACGGGCTGGGAGAAGTGGACATATCCTGAGTCGAGGAACTAGAGTCTGGAGGACTGCTTGAGTAAACCTCCGAGTTCGGCGAAGGAGGCGAAAATTTGTGCAAGGATTTGCTACGATGATTCTCATCTATATTTTGAGCGTTCTTTGAAGGACTAATGTGGCCCGCATATGATGACTTGAGAAGCAAAGGGCGATTAAGAGGCGCGTTGAGCTCCCGCTTCAGTACTGGCTGAGTTCCAAAGTCGTGGGTAGTTTGGTTAGAAGGAAGAGGAACAATAGGTGTGCAAGAATCATTATTTTTAGCTTCTGAAAGAGCCTGACGGTTGACATATTGCTCCAGTGGTAAACTCTTACTTCTTCGGATGATCTGTGAGCCGCGCTCTGTATCCTTTGATCCAGCAGTCGGTTCTTTAGTTGATTGAGATGGCCCATCATCCTGCTCAAGTACAGCCTTGGCAACCTTGGGAGGGTCGGCTAGATTTGAGAGTGTGGGATCCTTTGCAAACGAAGTGTCACAAGTTCTCTGTATTCGTGGCTGGGGTATAATTGCTTTCGGATGCAGGTCGTCGCAAACTTGGGAGCCGCGCTCAAGTCGTTCCTTTTTCGAAGGCTTGGGATCGGATTCAGGATTATCTGATGCATTGAGCTGAAGAGTATTGCCTGGATCGGCACAGGGCGAAGCTTTGGAATCTGAAATAGCATTTTGAGAAGTTAATCCATACTCTTGGGTTTCCGTTTTCGCAGACACGAGCGTTTTCATGTCAGTAGTGGATGTGCGGATGGTTAACGTCAGGGCAGCAGGTGGATTGTCAATGAGCGCAGTTGTGTTGTGAGAAACCCCTTGTTTACTGGCCTGAATTGGTGTTGTTTGTGGATTGGGGACCTTGGGGGGCATATTACTCGCATCGGGCTGGCGCTTGGGAAGCATTTCGGACATGCGTGCTGAACCCCTTGTTTGCAATGATCGTTTCCAGTCGTTTTCCATAGCTTTCTTCTGCGCTTCAGATGACCAGGTCGCAAAATCAGACTCCATTGCTTCCATATCATCAATCCAGTTCTCAGGGAGTGAATCTGAACGTCCCTCAAGCTCATCAAGGATTCTGTCCATTTGCCTACCCACTGTTAGGACCTTCTGTTCCAATATTTGGCGAGCAGCGGTGAAGGACTCCTCGGAAAAGAGTCGGTCATCACTGTCCGGTAATAAACCAGAGGATAACCGTGCTAGGGCAGCATCTATATCCAGTCTGGCCAGCTTTAACCCCTGAAGAAGCTCGGGTATCTGTCGAAGTACTATGAAACGCACTTCCCAAGTAGCCAGCAAGCTATTCAGCCTTGAGAGAATCGGAAGGGCTTGGAGAATTGTGGCCGTTATAACAGCGGTGAAATCACTTAGTTGCACGTAAGATAGCGGTTTCATCTCAATCGAAGCGGTGCTGTGGGAAGATATCGGACGCGAACGAGACGGTATATGAACGTTGAGGACATGTTCTTTCAACATCTCGACATCTAACGCGTCCATGGCATCCCTGATTTCGTCCGACCTGTTTTCATATTGTTCGACGATTTTCGCCGGAAGACTGCCGAAATAAATATCATGGATTTCAGCGGCAGCCAGGTCAGCGGTTGGGGGGATGGGAGGGGTGAATCCTTTGCCAAGGCCGGCCTCGCGCCTTGAAGGCCAGCTCCATGACAGCACCTCTGTATACCACTCTCTTAGTTTTTGAGCAGTCAACGCGGCCCTGATTCCAAACGCACGCTCAACGGTAGAGACATTGGCAATACTTTTTGTCAGCGCGTCTGATGGAGTGCTACGGTTGGATGGTACTGCATCTGCCGCCGATAGCGCCTTAAGCGTAGATTGCGGTGACAAGTTCGATAGTAAGGGATCAAGCTCGAGGGCTAAAAACTGGCTTCTTCTTTGGGGTGATCGAGTGCGCTTGGGGGATTGCGAACGTGACCTCGGGGTGGAGGGCGCAAGACGTAACGCGCGCGTCAGCGGCTTAAATGGGTTATCAGCCATTGTTGGCGACGGCGAAGGGCATAGCGGGGTAAAATCGACGACGCCTTGGTGAAGACGGAAACGAAAGAGGGCGGGAGATCTGGTTCAGAACGTGGACCAATCACTTAAAGCGAGTGCCGACGAAGTGTTATCATTCCGCGAACGTAATTCCGGGGCAATTCGTCGAGGGGTTTTGTCAAAGAAAAGCTCCACACAACGGCCTGTTTTAAACGATAGTGAAACGATGCAATTAATAGCGAGTGTGATGGTTCAAGATACATCAAGGATGTGAAATATGCGCAACAAAAGAATGTCGGGGTAAAAGTGCTGGTTTAAATACGGTGACGCGGGTGAATACATGAGAGCAAGAGCTGCAAGTAACGAGTGTAATATCAACAAATTGATGCCAGAAGCCGCCTCTTCAGTTGGGATTCGTCAAAGAAGCAGAAGCGAGAAAGGAAGATGAAGCTGTGTTGAAGGTTGAAGTGAAGCCAGGATGAGCCTGCTTAGCTCAGCACGGAGGTTGGATCAAGCGCAGGGCCTAGCCTCCTGGGGACTAGCGTGGGGTGCGATTCACCGCGGTGCACGGACCAGGCCCTTGATCGACGCGCCTCGGATATCGAATTTTTGTTTAACACACGCGTTGGCGAGGATGTTAACACTTGAAGAACTTGAACAGGCACTGTGCTATTAGGCATCGGGAGTGGTAGGGAGATGACTTAGGCGTCTTAAATACTGTGAGCGTCAAGGAAATGGTATCAGGATGCGGTTTAGGGGGCAACTCACGAATATCGGTACCTTTACTAGTATGTATCAATCTTGACGCGTCTCTCACGAGATACCTGACTATATTTAGAATTTACAGCGTCCCTTGCCTCCCTGGGGAAAATATGCTGGGTACGACTTGAAGAAGACGCCGTGCGTTTCACCATCATCCCCGACCAGGGAACACAAGTTTGGGCACAGTTACCTATTGTATGCAGCTACGTTCTAAGGCCACGCATTGCTTGGTTTGCTTGGTGGGGGATTAACGATCTTGTGTCAGGAAACCATTTTCGATTCCTACACCTTATCAGCCGCGGCAGAAGTGATTAACCTAGAAGTTCCAATCGCCGCTCTCCACCGCGCTCTCAGATCAGCAACAGACGCCACTTCAGCAGCCCTGCGCTTAACGAAAAAAGGATCCCAGCCAGTGCTGGCCTTGACAGTCGTGACTTCTTCGTGGACGGATGGCAAAAACGCCCTTGGTATCACCGCCGGCCCCGGGTCTCAAACCAGAGATAATGACGAACACGCAACGAACCCGACAGCACTTGAAGGGATCCAGCTTGGGGCCCGAGAGCGGGAAACCTTGGTTACCCAGGAAATCCCCGTTCGCGTGCTCCACCCGTCGGTCGTGGAGACACTGCATGAACCGCGCTGCCGTGAGCCAGACGTTCACATCGTGCTCCCTAGTTTGATTCAATTGAAAAGTATATCAGAGAGGTTTACGAAGCTAGCAACTGACACGATGCGAGTTAGCAGCGCCACAATGGTCGGTGGTGTTAATTCAAGTCCCAAATTGGAACTGGGCGCAAACATGCATGGTTCATTAAAACTCGGAATTGCTACCGACACATTGAAAATTTCTAGCGTGTGGACCGGGTTGGTGAATCCGGAACTTGATCCTGCCCAGGTATCTCAGGATGAAGCCGGGCAACGACCTAGTGAACGTATGAGGGAGCTTGGGGGAGAGCATGGTGAGAATGAGGAGGGATGGGCGACTGTTAAAATTGATGGGAAAGACTGGGGACGAGTGCTAAGTGTTGGACGGTTGAGTCCTAGAGTCGTGGCTTGTAAGCTTCTTCGAGGCACAGCCTACTGCTTGCAACCTGGTCTTCCTAGAGAAACTTACGATTGTGTCTAGGCTTCATTCATAACACCGCCTTAATTCTCTATGTCTATCTCCAGAATAGCTGGAGTGGAGATGAATCGTGCCTAACCGTGAGTACCTACTACCAAACACCGCTGGCAGGATTAGGAGACGCTGATCATTTTCAAGTATTATGTCAATTCATATGCTACATGAAAAAAACCATCAATCTCACCATTTTGTTCCACGTTGTTGAAATGTCGGCGTATCCAGAGGCTCACGAAGGAGGATTTGCCCTGTACATATAAAATAGATCAATTAAGCACACAGTGCCTGCTTTATATTCCCACCAAGCATTTTTGGGGAACCGCCCTACCAGGCCGTGGTATACACCTCAAACGACCGGGGAAGAATTGGTTAGAGCTATCCCAAGAGCGAAAGATCATTGGCGGAAAAAGGGAACGTAATCTAAATGAAGTTACATACTTGGAAATTGCAAAAGGCTTATAATACACACCTCCGCTGGGAAAAGAAGGGAAAAAGACGAAAAGAAAACACAGTTTGCGAAGGGAAACCAACGAGAAATATCCAAATAAAAGTACGCAAGCTGCGCCTTTTGAAGAAAATAAACATGGGAGGTCATCTTTCTTACAAAAACGATTAAATATAACAATGGATAAAACGGAAAGAATTAAAATACGGAAAAGCGCTATGAAGCGGGAAACTAATGCATGACCCGGTCCCGGATGCAAAGTCAACATGTAGAAACGTGACGATCAAAATGTGGGCTTACCCAAAGCTAAAAAGGCAGGCAAGGCATAGAAAGCCAGCGTGTAGCAAGGAAGCGCACATAATAACAACATTGTCATGTGCGGGCAGTTTATATCTATGGTTTGCTTTTCCTGGGTAAGGTATAGCAAAAATGCTGGGCGCTGAATTCACAAAGAGATGAGACCAAAACACAATAAACAACAATGCAAGTGATTTTGCATCATAATTCATAACTGGGATGGAAGCATTGAGATCATTTCGCCATGACATCAATATAGCCCCGGCCCTTTTTCCGTGCTTTGACAGTACCCGCTTTTCTTGCCTGCGGGGCTCCTAGGAGATCGTCAATCGAGCTCGCATTGCTTAACGAAGTGCTAGGGCGTGATGGCGGTCCTGTTGGAGCGCCAGCCGAAACGGATCTTGGGATTGGGCGCGGACTGCCTGTCGCTGGGCCCAGCGAGCTCAATGGCGGCGTGGGAAGTGGCGGAATACCAGTCGGAGCGGATAAAGCGACCCCCGCAATGGTCGAGGGTCCCGGCCTTCCATTTACTAGGTTGGGCGTTGTGGGAGTTTGGGCAGCGCTTGCAGACCGGCTGGATGGCGCTGAGCCTTTAGGAGGAGGCGGCGTGGCGGCCGCTGCGGCGGTGCCACCGCTGTCATTTTTGTTGATCCATCTGTTCAACTCTTTATCGAAATAGAAGGCGTTGTCATCTCCGAGATCTGCGCGGACTGGGCCCGCCTCCTTCTTTCCGAACCAACCTGAAAACCAGCCTTTCTTTTCTGCGGTTGGAGGTCGTTTTGCTATATGGAACATGATTAGCATTTCGGTTTGGATAGCCATAGAAGGGCTTATATTGCTTACCATCTGCTTCTGCAGCCTTCTTGAAAGCTTCATCCGCCTCGCGATTTATCCTTACCTTCTCGACACTCCTGAGCTGTGCCGCGCGAGCCATAAAATCGTCATCACCGTCATCGTCCATGAATGATTTCTTTTTCGGTTTTACTTCTTCTGATTCCTCACCCTCTGCAACATCTGTAGAATATGAAGGTGGTTCGTAACCGGTGCTTAGAGATGGAGGTTCATAAGTGGGTGGTTGGTACTGGGGTTGTTCAGGTACCATTGCACCAGTTTTGGCTTCATGATCGTCTGCTGCTGTCGCCGGCAATGGCAATGAACTCTCCTGACTGATACCGAAACTAGTTGTAGACAATTGTGCTGCGGGGGTTTCGCTCGTAGGAGACTGAACCTGAGGGGAATAAATCTCCTTGACAGGTGCAAGAGGGGAGTAGTTTGGCTGAGGTGGTGTAAAGTGGGAACTAATACCAGCAGGCGATGCGTGTATATTGCTAGAGGCCAACCCATAACCATTATTCTCAAGAGGGGTCATAGGATCTTGGGAGTTGCGGCGCTGGGAATACGAACGCGCCGCATTATGTGAAGGTGACCTCTGGGAGTCCAAAGACCGACGACCACGAGATTGTTCTGGGGATGAATAAGGAGGATAGTGCTGATTATTTGGGGCGTAACGAGAACTTGATGATGATGGTGGAACCTGCTGAGAGGGAAAATATGATCCATATCCTTCGACGACCGAAGGGGACCTACTGACAGGCGGCGTCCCGGCGATTTTGGCGAATGGTCCAATATCCCCTTCTCCAGCCTTGCCGGAGCCGTTCGATGCCACTTCGTTATCGTCGCCAGCGACGAAACTGTTGAATTTCGCCCACACCGACCCTGAGACCTTTTCCATGCTGGGTTTCGAAATCCAGGATGATGAGCCGTCCGCAGGAGCCTGTCTCAAACGCTGTAGTAGTTCGTCTAATTGGGCAAAGAAAGTTTGGTGGTAGTATGGTGATTTCGCATTCGATTTCGACGTGACAATAGAAACAATTGCTTCGCAGTAATGTTGAGCCTCAGATTTATGACCCTCTTCAGCCAGATGCATGGCGTGCTGAAGTTTGAAAGCTTGTAAATGAGGCAAGACTGGGGATGGTGCTGTAGCCAGTACGGATGTAGCAAATTCATAAACTTCGGTTAATAAATAAGCCTTGCGATCCGTCAAGGTGGCCGACGAGTTCAGCCGGTGATTAGAACCCAGAAGAACTATATCAGCCTGTGGGTCATGTACACCGCCGAATCTCGTCTTAGCCCCGGCGATTAGGCAACAAACATGTGCTGCTTCTGTCCTTCCGTATGATGCAAGCAACCGGCCAAGTGCTAGCAAAGCCTGGTGATCTTGGCTACTTCTGTTTTTCAGTATTAGGTTCACAGTCTCCTTCCATTTATTTAGGCCTTCCAGGGCATCCTTAGCAGGGCCTGGGCCTGCATGCATGCTAACCATCTGCAAACCAGCTCGCGCAGAGGGTGGTACCAATTCATCAATGCTCTCTTCGAAATTGCCAGCGAATATCTCGTATAACGCAGCTAAGGACTCGGTATTCTGCCCCAAAGATCGAACTTCCCGACGAATGAATTCTTGAACAACCTGTTTCCAAACGGACTTGTCCAGAGTAGATGAAATCAGCATTGCATGGCCCCACAAACGATGGTCAACTGCGTCCCAAACGGCCTTTTGCCTGTCCCCAGACACAAGATTTTTGTGGATGGTTTCGACTCCTAGAGAACTGGCGGGTTCGGATGTCAGCGACCCAGCGAGTGGGCGATTAGCATCAGGATATCCAGATTGAGTATCCAATGGCCCAGCCTCTGTAGTTGCGTCGTTCTGTGAGAATACGCTTTGAAGGCTTGCGTCTGCTGCCGTAGAGCCACCCAGCACCCCGTCATGTTCAACCAAAACCCTCACTACCTTCCAAAGCAAGATGGTATCTTCACGGCGACGTTCTTGTACCAGATCTGTTTGAGCAGGGCCTTCTACCGGAAGGGTCTCGAAAGCGGATATCATGGTAGAAAGCCAGGTTAAGACGTCTTTCTTTTTGGATTTCGATTTTAAGGGTCCTGGAAACTTATCAAGAGGCTCGTCATGCGGAAGTAGTTGATTAATCGGATAAATTTTAATGTCACCCAGAGTCGGTTTGATACGAGGAACCATCTGACCCGTAGAATATCTGGGGATATGCTTTGGAAATGTCGATAGCACACTTCCACCAAATCCAAACCTAAAGATTGGAGCGCCTTTCCAGCGCTGGAGAGGATCATGTTCTCGGCCATCGGTGGGAGGAATAAAGTCCAAAACTGGAACTGAGCGATTATGAACAGCGGGGGTATAAGCGGTCTGGAATGTTTGCATTGACGACCTGCCGCCGTGAGCTGAGGCTGGTCTCACGTAAGCATTCTGACTCGATCCAGCAGATGTTTGAAGAGGATTCATTTTCCCAGGAGACTGGGTCATGGAGCGTTTGGGAGGAATGATCTGCGAATCGGGTCCCAGGGGCGGGAGGCGGGAGGTTGGTGGGACAGTGGAAGTGACAGGAAGTGGCTCTCTTTTCCGCGGCGGAGACGAATACGGCATTGTAGGCTCGTGGTATGCGAGGGGGCTCGAGGTGCGTGGCTGGAACGGACGCGTAGTGACGGATGTTTGAACAGTTGGGGACTGCGATACATACGTTGGTGGGCCTGTAGTGCCAGCAAGCTGGGGTGGTGCAGGAGAATATCGAGGAAAGGGGGCCGATTTCGTTGCTGGCTGAGAGGGCGGCTGAGGTGAATACCGGGAGGACTGGGGAGGGTGTTGAGAGGGAGGGACAGGAAGAGTGGAATACAGATCTACAGGCGCAGGAGGCTGTAATTGAAATTGGGAATAAGGGTCGCGGTTCTGCTGCGGATGGGAAGCGGGTGGTGGGACCATTGGCCCTATCGGTGCATTGGGAGGCTGTTCGGCCGGGTTTGGCTGTGACGCATGTCGACCTCGAGTGGATGGGCGGGATCTTGTTACGACCGGGAGCTCCTCAAAAAAACTTCCAGTCCTAACAGGTGCTTTGGTTGATGGAGAAACTGTATCAGAATTGGATATATGTGGTGGAGCTGCATTCGGCAAGCCACCAGTTCCCTCCGGACTCGAAGGCATATAAGACGAACTTGGAGGGCGGGATCCTGTCATGGAACTGCTGCGGGGTGGCGGGTTCATACCAGGCGGGTGCTTAACAGCGCGAGTTACGGCATGTTTTGGGCGCATTTCAAACGGTAAGTCGAAGGGGGATTGATATCCGGCCTTCGGCTGATTAACGAAACTCTCAACCGGTCCCTTTTCTGGCTTGACTACTTGCTGCGGGGCTGAAAACGAGTTTGATGATGGTAAACAAGCTAGCATCTCGGACAATGATGGCTGATGTGGAGCGTAAGGGTTGGCGGTGGACGACTGAGGCTGGAATTGCGAGGTGTTAGGTGTAGCCAAGTGCTCTGTGGCCTCAGTTCGATACTTCGGCATTTCAGCACCAGAGTCGTTCGTCGATGCATCGAGAGGTTCGTTTTCGATCAACAAATCATCATCATCTAAAAATGCCTTCCATCTTTCCGCCAACTCCTCTTCCCCAACGTCCTCGTTTGCTGCGGGCTCCTGAGGGGCAGCATTGGCATATGGGGTAACATTTAGCCCAGAGAGGACTTGTGACGTGGATTTACGTTCTAATCCAGAAGGCTGTTCCCACGTCGACTCTTTCTGGTTCGTCATTTGGGAGCTGAAAAAGTCGGCGTCCCCTGTGGCTTCATCCGCTTCAAAAAGGGTGTCGATTGCGTTGACCGGGTGACTGTTCACCAGAGATTGAGCATCGCTATTATCAATGAGTGGGAGTCCTTCCTCAAAACGGGACTCGGGTTCTGGGGGGTTATAGATCGGTTTCGTTTGTGAGCTGATATTGTTGAAAAAACCAGCGCCACCTTCTTCATCAGCTGCGAATGTATTGTTCCATGGGCTGTCTCCCGCGTTAGTATTATTAGGCGGTTGGGGGTCAGACAATGGCTGGTGAGATTCCTCATCACCCTTATCCGAATTGTCCTGTTTGCTCTTCAACGTTGCCCCAATCATCGCCTGGAAATCGACGCTGTCGTCAGAAAACGAGTTCGCTAGCAGCCCAGCTTCAGATCCCTGGAATGAATCAATCAAAGGCGAATCGGAATGTGCAAGGTCGACATTCTGCTTGAATCCAAACCGCTCAGCCTCAATGATGTTCGAATCCATAATTCCGTGATTTCGTGACTCGACCGCAACTTTGGAAAGTTCGCCCAAGTGTGTAGAATCGCTATTTAAAGGCTCTACAACGGGTTTCTCCGGTTCAAGAGATTTCGAGCTGGTATTTCCCGGTGAACTCTCAGCGGATTCTCCGATCTGGCCGAATGTCGGGGAAGAGGCGGGTGGATCATCTCGATCGGTTTCGTTGGAGAGTTGTTCGGGCCTATGCGCTGGATTCCAAGCTCCGTATTGGAGCGCATCTGGAAGTGAGCCATTTCCATGGCCCAGCACCGAGACCTCCGCCATCGGGAATCAGTCGTTCAAGTCTCTACTCCTCGAGGACTTGAGCTGTCGTTGGCAGGGAAGGAGGCAAAAGCGGGCCGGCGTGGTAGGGAAAGGAACGCGACCAGCTCCAGGGAGAGAACGTTGACGCTGGCAGCCAACAGAACTAGAGAAATCGAGAGGCAATCATGGCGGAAATTTATCAGTATTCTGCCGGGCGACGGGAATCGACTTGCGGATCAGGAGACGCTCTGTTGATGATCGAAGTCGGATGGAAAACGCCACGGAACAACAGCGGCCCGGAACTGGCCAGGTAAACACTTCTGAAGGCGTCAGGGCGATGGCGAGACTAATGATAGTGATAGAGGGGCGACAGACCTCAAGAAACGAGCTCTGCTAGTCTCAGCATTCTCCTCAAGCAGGCACACAATTGATTCAAATTCCGGCTTCTCCCAAATCTCAACTTGGTTTGAGGTCGTTTTTCAAATCTGCCGGATTATCCTATTTCCATTCCGAATGCGCCACACCGTTTGAATCACGTGGAAGTGTGGCAGTGCCCAACCACGCAGCAGGCATCACCATATCATCATACTCACCATCGTCGTTATCGTCGGCATGCAAGCTGCGGGACTTTGGTTTCTGGACGGCGACTCTGAAATGAATTCATGACTGGAATGACCGACTGGTGACGACTGACTGGGCTCACGCTGTACAACATCCTTTTGCTAATCCCTTGACTATGACCCCCTGCTCGGTTCTCTGCAGGCTCCTCTGATTTACAGACAAGGTCGACCCGGGCCCGGAATTTAATATGCATACGAACTTCGCTCTCGATCTGCGATAACGGCGTCTTTTACCATGGCGTCCTCTCACTCTCATCGTCCCCTTAATTCGAGAACGCCCTCAGTCCTATCAGATTCCGACGATGATCTCGAGTTGGAGGAACTCGGCGCGGGAACGTCGAGGCCGACTAGTCGCGAATATACATCAAGGCGAACCCATGAACGCAACTGGTCTAGTCCCGGAATCGCGTTGAGAAATATCAGGGCCTCTGCCCGCAACCGACTGCGGAGCCGTGGACAGAGAAGTTCTGCGCATCGGGAACGTGATGAGGGCTTGGATGCTTTGCTCTTTGACCACGAAGACGAGGGCCAGAGGTCATCTCGTGCTGCATCGAGCTCCGCCGATGATAATGCTCCCCTCCTCAGCGCGTCAAATCAGAGTGGTCCCTCTCCCTCGCGCCCCTCAAGAGCAGACGCGCTCTATGCCAGTATAGGCTCCAAGCTACGGCTACCTCGTTTCGCAGCGGCTTCTTCTATGGGGGCTACAGGAAATGTTTTTGGCCGTGAAAACTCATCGGAACCCAAGCCTACACGATTGGTGTTGGTGGGTCAGCAACAGAGCGTTCGGTACCCAGCCAACGTCGTGTCAAATGCAAAATACACAGCCTGGAGTTTCCTCCCGCGTACTCTGTATAACGAATTCTCGTTCTTTTTTAACATCTACTTCCTCCTTGTTGCCCTTTCTCAAATTATCCCCGTCCTAAGGATCGGGTATATGTCATCCTATATTGCACCGCTAGCGTTCGTGGTCATTATATCATTGAGCAAAGAGGCACTGGATGATATTTCCCGGCGGCGAAGGGATGCTGAAGCGAACTCTGAGCAGTATACGGTCTGACGTTTCAACCAAGCTCATTACGTGAATCCAGAGACGATCCGAGCAATGAAATGATTACTCCTTTTGAGGTGACCAAGAAATCGAAAGATCTCAAAGTTGGCGATATCTTGAAGATACGAAAAGACCAACGCCTCCCGGCCGATGTTGTTATTTTAAAATCCTTGCATAGCGAATCGGCGATTCCCGCTACCTCGGGTTCAAGTTGTGACGGTGGTGATGCGCCGATGCCACCGATGGATGCTCACTCTATCCGTGCCGATTCTGACAACGGCGACTCTGTGGACGCATTTATACGTACTGATCAGTTAGATGGAGAAACTGATTGGAAGTTACGGATTGCCTTGCCACTGACGCAGGCTCTACCGCTCGCAGACTTGCGCAGAATTCGAATCACGGCCGGGGCTCCTGAAAGAAGCGTCAATGATTTTGTAGGAAGAGTAGAACTTGCGCCGGTCTCGCAATCATACGACCCTCCTATAGAAACCGGCGGCGAAGCCTCCAAAGCTTTGCAACATCAATCCGCACCCCTCACTATCGATAATACAGCCTGGGCAAACACCGTACTTGCTTCGAATACCACTACTTTTGCGACAGTTATCTATACCGGCTCTCAAACGCGCTCGGCAATGTCCACGTCTCCTTCTCGGTCCAAAGTCGGCCTTCTTGAGTTCGAAATCAACAGCCTAACAAAGATCTTGTGTGTTCTAACATTGTCTTTATCTATCATTCTCGTTGCATTGGAAGGCTTTCAACCCACAAGCGATAAAAAATGGTACATCGCTATAATGATTTATCTTATTCTTTTCTCGACGATCATTCCCATGAGTTTACGGGTAAACTTGGATATGGCCAAATCAGTGTATGGGAGGTTTATTGAACGGGATAAAGGAATTCCCGACACCATTGTGAGGACCAGCACCATTCCTGAGGATTTGGGAAGAATAGAGTATCTACTTTCAGATAAAACGGGCACACTAACCCAAAATGGTGCGTCTTCCTTTTGATGGCACACAGCCCATAAATCTGTCAGGAGCTAATATTTCATAGAGATGGAATTGAAGAAAATCCATGTGGGTACCGTATCGTACGCTAATGAGGCGATGGAAGAGGTTGCAGCATATGTTCGGCAAGGCTTCTCTACTTCATCTGCTTCAGATAACTCCGATACAATCTCCCTAGTCACGCCGTCGTCAGTGAATGCGATCCAGTCAGGCATGGCTGGAACTACACGGACGCGGCGTGAGATCAGCTCCCGAGTAAGGGACCTGATTATGGCTCTCGCTATCTGCCATAATGTCACCCCAACCTCAGATGAAAAGGATGGCCAGCCTATCACTACTTATCAAGCCTCGTCTCCAGACGAGATAGCGATCGTAAAATATGCTGAAGAGGTTGGCGTTCGACTAGCATACCGTGACAGGCAAAAGATATTGCTTCGATCTGTGGAGACCGGCAAGATTGTTGTGAAGGGTAGGATATTGGATATCTTCCCGTTTACGTCAGACAGCAAACGTATGGGCATTGTTGTTCAATTTTCTCACACGCAAGGGGCAGATGAAAGTGAAGACGAAATCTGGTTTTTCCAGAAGGGCGCCGACACGGTTATGTCGTCCATTGTAGCAGCCAATGACTGGCTTGACGAGGAGACGGCCAACATGGCCCGGGAGGGCCTCAGAACACTGGTGGTTGGAAGGAAGAAACTTTCTCAACAACGATATGAAGAATTTTCTACAAGTTACAAGCACGCATCGCTTTCTTTAAGTTCGAGGGATTCTCTCATGGCAAAGGTGATACAAAGTCACCTGGAATGTGACTTGGAGCTCCTTGGCGTAACTGGAGTAGAAGACAAACTCCAAAAAGATGTGAAGCCGTCTCTTGAGCTTCTTCGAAACGCCGGTGTCAAAATATGGATGCTCACAGGTGACAAGGTTGAAACTGCACGATGTGTTGCTATTTCGTCGAAGTTGGTGTCCCGGGGACAATATATCCATACAGTTTCAAAACTGAAAGACCTAGAGTCAGCTCAAGAGGCCCTCGACTTCCTCCGAAACAAAACCGAATCATGTCTGCTCATTGATGGAGATTCCCTTTCTCTATTGCTAAGCCAGTTTCGGTCTGCCTTCATATCCGTTGCTGTGCTTTTACCGACTGTCATTGCATGTCGATGTTCTCCAACGCAAAAAGCAGAAATCGCATTATTAATCCGGCGCCATACCAAAAAGCGAGTGTGTTGCATCGGGGATGGCGGCAACGATGTATCTATGATACAAGCTGCGGACGTCGGAATCGGTATCGTGGGAAAAGAAGGTCGTCAAGCGTCCCTTGCAGCCGATTTCAGTATCACGCAATTCCACCATCTCACGAAGCTTCTCGTCTGGCACGGCCGGAACTCCTATAAGCGGTCTGCAAAATTGGCCCAATTCATCATGCACCGAGGCTTGATAATCAGCGCGTGTCAAACGATGTACAGTATCGCAAAACACTTTGAACCTAAGGGTCTCTTCATCAACTGGCTTCTTGTCGGATACGCAACTGTTTACACCAATGCCCCCGTTTTCTCGCTCGTCCTTGACCGAGATGTTGACGAAGAACTCGCAAACCTCTACCCCGAATTATACAAAGAACTCAAATCAGGCCGGAGTCTGAGCTACCGGTCATTTTTCACTTGGGTTTTCGTATCCGTATACCAAGGATCTGTGATCCAAGGATTTTCCCAAATCCTCGTCGACGCTACTTCTGGCCCCAGGCTCATCAGCGTCTCCTTTACAGCCCTAGTTTTGAATGAACTCGCCATGGTGGCGATCTCAATCACAACGTGGCATCCAGTTATGATATTCTGTATCATTGGCACGGCATTAGTGTATGCGGCCAGCGTTCCATTTTTGGGAGATTATTTCGACCTGCGCTACGTGATCACCCTTGGATGGGCGTGGAGAGTTGCCGTTGTGTGCGCTATATCGTTGGTACCCGTATGGGCTGTCAAGTTCATTAGCAGGACCTGGAGCCCTCCAAGTTACCGCAAGGTGCGAGGGTAGTTTCTTACTTGTAGTTATATTTAGACTTGGATAAAATCGATCGACTCCATAGTCGCTCTTCTAGAGTTTGATGTAATAGCTTGTACCCCGGTACAGCCTTCACTACTCTGGGGGCCTTTTGGATCCAAAAGTCTCCCAATCATGATACGTAAATATCGTTTACAATTCGGCCATGAATTGTTGTCAGGGGAATACGCCGTTCCTAGTATTCGAGCTGAACAGGCCCCGAGAATGGAACTTCATGGGTCCTGTTAAAATGAATGTGAAAAGGAACGAACACGTCCACCAATGGATAAAGAGAAAAAGGACCTTTTACCCCGGCTAAATATGTATGTACAATTGAAGGGGTATTGGTGAAGTGTGGATTTGCGAAGATGCAAATAGACTCGACATGATATGGAATGCAACGCGTAGGTAGAACAGAATGCAACAAGAACGCCAACAGGGCACATATACCATGAGGTCATCATTCGAAGGAAACAATCTGTGAACGCCGCAAATAGGGTCAAAGAAATAATTCAGCGAGGACCTGCCAAAGGTTTCCGTGCCATATTTCCGCCTCCGTAACCAGCACCTCCACTTCCACCGTGTAACCTCGCCCTCAATCTTTCCTGTGCAGAAGCAGCAGACAGAGTACGGTCTGGTCCTCCAGGCCGAGTCTGTGCAGCCTGAGACGTCTGATATGACCCCGCCATCTGACTAGGAAGGGGTCTTGCACCGCCGCTGCCCACGTTTCCTGCGCTTCCCGGTTGACGCGCAGATTGTGATCGATCAAATGGATGACGCGGTGTACCCGACGGCGACGGACGCCCAGGTAAGCCTGAAGCAGGTGCGTTTGCACCCCGGCCTAATCGGAGACTCGACGTTTGCGGTTGTGCCGGCGCAGATGCTGGAGCGGTGTCTCCCCATAAATCACCCAGTCCTCCGCGACCGCCTCCCCCACGGCCAGCGGGGGCGCTGGGTTGACCGCCGTATCCTTGGAATGATGTCTGTGTAGCGACGGCGGGCGGTGGGGGTTGTGACGATTTGGGGTCTGGAGGAAGCCAGGGGGGAAGGCGGCGGCCTTTTTCTGTGTAGTATGCGCGTAAGACGTGAGAGATGTGAGAGTTATCCTCGTGGTCTGGGTCGTCAGTCTCGTCGCCAGAGGAGAGCGCGCGGCGCAGGGATGTGAAGCGAGTGCTGATGTTGGAGATTGCGGTGGAGGTGGTGAACGACGAGAAGTAAGAGGACATGGTTGCGATTCGCTGGAGATTCAGCTGCTCCGATACGCTTCAGCAGCGAGGGGCGTCTCCGTCTTCGAGACGGAACAAAGATGTTGCTGGAGGTGCCTAGGAAGCGTGGTTTTGATATCGTAGGCACCGGGAGAGCGGGCGGGAGTGACGCAGTATCATGTAGGATTCACTGACGGCGGCGTTCATGCGGATTATTCAATGAATTGAAGATAGACGGTGGCTTGAGTGAGGCATTCACGCTGGTTGCTTTAAATTGTTGGCAATTGAGACGAGAGGTCGATGTGAAGTTGAAACCAGAATCCATGTCTCATCAATCGCCTGTAATCAGAGCACAAAGTCAGGCGCCGACTCAACTCAACTGCTACCCGTCGCCATCTTCCTCGATGACATCTGGCCAACTGCCTGCATTCCCGTTTCTCACTCTGGACGAGTTCCGGTCCGTATGTTCGTCATTCACAGGCAAAGTCAATTCCTATCCAAAAGGTCTTTCAGCGTTGGGCTGGACCAAGATCAGATATGAAGATCAGGTACGGGTAATGGAGCACTCTGAGGAATTCCTCTGAACTAGTTATATCTACTAATCTCCTCGCCAGGATGGAAACGCAGTCTTGCTCATCTCTAAGATCCTCGAACCACTCCGTTCGGGATCTGACGCAGAGCATAATGGCCAGAATTCCTGTCACCAGGGAGATCTTATAGAGGACGATGACCCTGTTAGGCTCACCGTATCCCTTCTCTTGCTATTGTCGCTCTTTAATAATGGTTGCTGGGCAGGAAGTGCTCATCAGATCGTACCCTCCCACCGACAGGGACACGCCTGAAGTTGAATACAATATCATTCTGTCGCCGACCTATCAGGTTCCAGTCCTATACTTCTTCCTTCGGGGTGTTTCCCTCATCGATTCAGCTACCTTAGACCTTATATACGAAGGCTTGGTTCCCCCATCATACCGATCGGGCTTGAAGCAAGTGGGAGTCATGGGTGGCATTAGCATGACTGTGCGTGAGACTACGTCGAGGACCATTTCGAGACAATCAAGAGTCAAGGCTGATATGGAGGCAGAACCACCCAGTGACAGGTATTCCAGTGTACTTCATCCATCCATGTAACACCGCAAGCGCCCTGAGAGACGTTGCAAAGGGTGCAACGCCGTCAACGGAATCATATCTGCCGCTATGGTTAGGCCTCGTGGGAAACTGCGTCGGCCTTCATATTCCCAGAGAACTGTTCAAACACATTATTGACAGTTAGATGACCCAAACCCCGGATGTTCCGTGTGATATTCCCTCCTCCAAAGAAACATCACCAAAATCTGGATGCGGCGTCGGGATGCAAAACTGGATTATGGAGTTGATTTGCCCTTTGTGCCATACAGCTATTGTGTCATGGACTGCCCTCTGTATTTGAACATCGGCCAAGTGATACGCTCCGAATGGGTTGGTTCAAGACAAGAACTAAATATGGATATTACATGCTACGACTAGAGCCGGGTCGCAAGCAAATGTTCCTCTTTTGATCCAATGGTAAGATCATGCAGCTCGAAGCAGTCAAGTCAATGAGATGTTATCATGTGTTTTATTACAACTGACCTTAGCGGATTTCCTTGAATCCAAAAAACCTTAATATAACTGTAGATTCACCATAAAGATCCTCGTAACCCTTAGATCACTGTTACCACTTTGGGTAACCATAAATCCACTGTAAAATCACAGTTACTTTGTAGGGCACAAATCTGATTCAGATTCATTTCTAAAATATTACAGTTTGACTCTTTAAACAGTGAATTTTGAAGCCACATTGCAGAATTGAGTAACAAAAGTTCCATTTCAGCCACAAAGGCCTGAAGCTGACCTAACTAACTAGTTTTTTTGGAAAAAAGTAAAATCCAACCTCACATCATTGAAACTGACCCTTGCTTCACCATTTCATTTATTTATTCACCTCATTGTTCAACTTCTGACCTAGTTTTGTCAAATTCACTCTGGTAATACATCTATTCAAGTTCAGAAGAATGAGTGGAATCCTTGCTTTCAGAGCAGAACTCAGAGAAGCCACTGCAGGAGAAACAGCTAGAGTCACAGAAGGAGACATAATCAGAGCTGTCAGAGAAGAGACAATCAGAGCCATCAGAAAAGCAGAAAAGCAAGACAAATCTGATAAAGCAAATTGTCATGGCTCAGAATCAGAATCAGACATGACAATATCAGAGCTTGAAAATGGGCTGGAGCCTGACACAGCATCTGAAAAAGAATTCAGACTAGAGAGAGAGGTTGCTACAATTCAATTGAGTTAATATAATTTGGTGAGAGGCATAAAAAATCACTTATCCACTGACACATTAGAAACCCCAAATCAGAGAAGATCAGGAGTTCAGAATTGTGAACTTGAAATATCTAAATCAGTAAAAACACTTGAGCTCATAATCAACAAGCTTTGCAAAGTTCAAGCCTTCTTTCAAGAAGAAGATTGTTCAGATTCTTTATCTTTCATCACAGAACAAATTGCTTCAGCAATTTGAGTTGGAAGAGTCTTGAATTATTAGCATATTATATCAAGTTACTTGATATATTTACTTACAGCAACTTGTGTGTTCAGCATCATGAGCTGATTCACAATCATTTCATTGAGCTCAATAAGTTTCTTGAACATTGTCAGATTAAAAAGACTCAGAGCACTAACACTAAAGATCAGATCTTGCTCAATATCAGAGATGAGAGATATTTCAGCTTTTCTTTCAAGTTCATCCTCCAGCATGCCCATAATGCAGACTGCAGTACTAAGATGACTCTTTTTGATCATCTTATTAGCTGTATTGTTGAAGACCTTAATGATCTTCAGAAGTTTAATAACCACAGAGATTAAGTTCTTCAGAAAATCAATACAGCTCTTCTTATCACAAGAGCAGTTCATGCAGGTCTTTCCACTATAAATCTTGTCACATAGTGCATTCATATGATTCAGAACAACAAACATCAGAGCACAATATTGATACATTATCTCACTATCATCTTCTTCTTCAGATTCTTTAGCTGACTTTCAATCTCTTCTCTTCAGAGTTTGCTTCAGCATCTTGCTTGCTGCTGCTGCTGCTGCTGCTGTTATGATTGCTGTCAGCTTTCAGAAGGTCATTTTGACATATTTCTTCTCAAAAAAAAATCTCATCAGTCTTTGAAAATGTCATACAAGAGGGATATCAACTTACATTTGTGAATTTGAGTTTATACACACAAATTGGGAGAGAAAAAGAATCAAAGAAGAGGGGGAGGTCAATAAGTATATGAAGCTTGAGGAAGAAGAAGAAAAAAGATTGTGGGAAGATTCAGTTATTTTTCTGTTATAAGCCTCACATTACTAGCTTTGTTTGCATTTCCTAATTGGACTGACCATGTAATATAGGCAAATTCTGCTTGATCTAAGATTCCTATCAGATTTCTACTTGAATTACTCATATTGGGAATTTGGAAGCTCTTTTCAAGAGCTAGATTTAATATTCACTGCTCTTACAGATTGCTGACTGCTGGAAACAGATATTTGCTTCAAAATCCACTTTATTACATTTGAAATATGCATATAAATCTATTCACAGCACTCTATTTAGAATTTCTTTGGTGGGATCATCTCAGTGAACTTGATCTTCACAATTTGAGTCTTCTTCTCATTCAAATTCACTGTCTTTGGCTTCTTGCACCCTTGCTTGTTCTTTTCAGCAAAGTTGGATTTCTCCATGTTGACATACTGCTTCACTTTGCTCATATAATTTCAGAATTGAAGGATATTCTTTCAGAATTCAAATGTCTCTTTCTCCAAACCCTCCTTCTCAGAGAGATCATGGTACAATTTGATCTGAACAGCCAAATTGATAAAGATTTCTGCTTTTATATTAGTGATTTGCTAATGAATTTCAAAAATATAGCATACACTTTAAATACCATCTGTCAAATTTCAAGAATTTCAGATAGTCTACAATATTGACCACTCAGAAAAACACCTGGAAGAAGCTCTCCTCACTGAATATTTTTACAAAGAAATTGAAGAGCTTGTCAGAATTGTCACAGCAGTGCATCTCAATATCAGAATGTTTCTCATGATCAATCTTCTTGATCTTTTCTATATGTTTCTATTCTTAAATTTCAGTCAACCAGCAGTCTTCAGAGAATTCAGATTATACTTATCATTATGTTCTGAAGAGTTCTGCTTTTTCAGAACTTTGTTGTCTCTTGAATGCTCACTCAGACCACACTATATATAAAGAAGAAGTTCTCAATCTTTCTGTGTACATCTCAAATAACCTCATTCATTTTGCCTTTGTTAAAGATGAGCAAATACATTCATCAGGTCTTGTGGATGAGCTCCATCACAATTGACTCATTCTCTTTTCAATATCTCTCAGTATCAGAATGAGCTACTCACTTTTTGCACTTCTTAATCTTTAAAGACTCTTCTGGAGCCACCTGCTCAGCTGGAGCCTCTTGCTCAGTTGGAGCTGATGATGCTTCAGATTCTTGAATGAGATTCTCTATTGGCACCTCAAGCAATCTGAGAAAGCTTTCTTTCATTATAAATATTCATTATATATCTATAGAAATTGTATTACAGATTTATTCAATTGAACTGGTATAGTCATTTGTTCTTGCAAATAAATTCAACACTTCAATTTCAGATTCATGAAGAATTTTCATCTAGCACCCCTTTTTTCAATTTTCAAAAAGAGTTATTTTGACAACCTCCCACTCTCAATCTCTCCCCACAACCCAACATCTTCATTCTCAGCTCAATTTCCAAACTGCAGCTTGTTTAATCAAAATGTCTCATTCAACTCTTCAAAATATCAAGCAAATTGCACTACAAGATTCAAATTTGACCTCCAAAGCATCTGACACCAGTAGAGAGGCTGCTGAAGAAAATGTTGTGAGAAATGTCAACAAATCTGTTGATTCAGTGGAATTCAAAAATCAGCCCATGGAGACCCAGCAGCATGAGCTTTTGGATAGTGATTCCAATAACAACAATGAAATTGATCTTATTGTGAGCTCAATTGATTATATTTGTGTATATCAAAAGCTAATGCAGTCAGTTTTAATTTACATTAGATGTCAATAATAAAGAGAATCTGCTTGACAATGAGTTTCAGCTGCAGAATATCATTAAAGAAGCAATTGCAGATATCAAACAGTCTACAATTGAGAAGCTACTAGAGTCAGAGTCAGAGTCAGAATCCAATGCTAATGTTCCAGTAAATTCACTGGGGTTATCAATATTAGAAGATAAATTTTCAGAAGCATTACCCAATATAAGAGTCAAGAAGCATGAACAAATGGAATTCTTTGCAATAATCTTTACTTTATGGTGTGAACAAGAGAATCTCTCACCAGCAGTATCAATCTCTTCAGAAAATTCTACAGAATCTCAACAATATTAAATCAATCAAGACACTACCTGCTGGGCTTTCTACACTCAAAAAGAGATGCAGGACTTAATTTCCAATTCTATCACTTTAAAAGAAGATCATTTCAGTCATTTCAATCAAGATGTCAACCCTCTTCACAGTCAAAAAGAAAATGGTGGAGAGCATCTGACTAACAAATGTCTATTTTCAAGATTCAATAGTACTCTTTGCTGCTTTAGTGAAGTCCCCAAGCTTCTGTTCCAAAGTTCATATTGGCATGACAGAATTTATTGACAATCTGACAGAACTGTGACATTCATGGAGTTGGGGGAGCTCCATAAAGCACTCATCAGATGAATTCACATTGTATTCTGACAGAGAGTCTATTTTTCCTTCAGATTTCTTGAGTTTTCAATGCAATAATAACTGCTAATGCAATAAAAACCCCAACTACCATTATATTAACTGAGTTCTTTTTATCAGACACAATAAACAAAGCAATACCTCAATTCTGAATGTAGTCATGCTACAAGTTCAGTCTGTTCTGCAATTTAATTTTTTTTATTACAATGAGAAGTTATCTGTCTTAAATTCAACACATCACTTAAAGAAATTTCTCTTTCTTGAACAGCAAGATGAATTCATCTTTAAATTCAATGTTCTGTTCTGAATTAATGTGCATTTAGATTATTCATTCAGTTTTCAAGAGACTTCACAAGCTTCAAATACTGACTCCCACTTTGTACAAAGAGTTCTAAATGTCAAAGAAGGTAAATTGAATGCTCACTCAATTGTCAAGATAAACTCTTTACACAGAGAGCTGAAGCTGGAGGCATATGATCAATCAACTCTGAAAAAGATGTTTACTGTTGATCAGTTGATTAAAAAGGTTATCTTCATATCATATCAGCTCTTTATTGATGGATTCAGATTGTATCAGAATATGTATCAGAGTCTTATGAAGTTTTATATAATTTCCACTGAGCTTACAGCCACTCAATGCACCAAAAGAAACAGTGTTTATACACTTACTTTCAGATCTCATGCCATCAACTTTCTCAATATTATTAAAGCTCTTGCCCCCAGATTGGCAATTGTTGACAGCAGATTTGAGATCAGTATTGTCAGTTAAGACAACATGTGAGTAATTGCTTCTTGTATTACATTCTTAAAGAACATGCTGCAGCAAAATAGCAATGCTGCAATCAAAGAACTGTTGGCAATTCATTTCTGTCAGATTTGTAAGATTTCCAATATCAATAGACATGATATGCACTATGACATTTTTCAGAATGGTCAATTCCACTACAAGAATCTCCATTTCTGCTGTCAAATTGATACAACAGCAATCCAATCTCATAAGAAGACTCTTTGCAAGAAATATAGCATAACTAGTGAGCAAATCTTCTTGTTCAAGATCTGTTCATCTTTGAATTTGATTACTTTCTTTTCTTTCAATCTCTATTATAGCAAATTCTCTGGAATCTCCAAAATAGTGCATGTGCTGTTGATAGATTTCATACTCTCACTCCATGACCAGACAGAATATTGTCAACTGCTTCAAAGATTTTCTTTTCAACAGAATTAAACTCATGTACAGTCTTCAATTACACATTTGGATTCTTACCAATTGCAAGAGCACACTCAAGCTTTCATTGTAATCTCAATTCTTCTTCAACTTGTAATGAAACTTGACTAAATCTTTTCAACTTTTCAAAGAATGATGTCAGCAGTCTTTAAACAGTAAATGGAGTCAGAATCAGCTGCAATTGATATTATTATGCAGACTTTTGCAGAAATTGCATGAAGCAATTGTATTCTCATCTCTCAAATATGAATCTCATTCAACATTTTGAAAGACACTGTACTTCAAGCACAAATCAGATTACAGCTTCTAGTTAATGCAGCAGCATGATCTGTTGAGCTAATTTTCATTGCATCTCAGACTGCCTCTGTTATAAATATTTATTGGGGAGTCTCTTCAGCTCCAAGTCAGATGTTAAATCTTTTTCAGAATTTCAAAATCACAGTGAATCTCCAAAAGAAAACAAAGATCATACAGACATTGAAGAATCACTCAAACATGCACATCAGAATTCATTACATGAAGCAGGTAAAAGAATATGCAGTTTTCAATAATTGCAATGTGCTTATCAGAGAAGATAAACACCATGAATATAAAAAGCTTGTTCAAAGAACAAACAAGTGGGACATTGAAAAAATTCTTCTCACTCAGAAAAGCTTTAAGTGTACATTGCTTTTACTGCTTGAGAGAGCATTTTTGAATATTGAATTCAATCTTTCTGTCAATTTACACAAGCTATATTGCTCATGCTCTTCTCTTTTTGGTTCCTTACTTCACTTTGAAAACAATTTGGATTCTGATTTGAATACTGAGCATTTGGATACTGAACAATTGAATTTCAATAATTTGAATACTAAACAATTGAATACTTAAGAGTTGAATGTTGATTGGGAATACAATTCAAATGTTTGAGCTTAATAATCTGTAAATCCAATGCTTCTAATATTCAGAATTTCAAATTCTCACCTATCTACATTGATCACATTATATCTCTTTCTCAAGAAGCTTTAACAAGCATACAAGAACTGAAACAAGTCTTCTGTTGTTGATTTAAGCTCTATTGTCATTCAATTTTACCAAAATGTCAGTTTCTTCTTAAGAAATGACTCCAATCAGACAATATTGAGACAAGATGATATGATTGAAGTTCTTTAATCTTCCACAATTACAGCAGTAATCAGAAAGATTACTGTCATCTTTGTGCATGAGCTTAATAACTATGAACAGGTTTTTCTTTCAATTGGGCCTGCTAAAGAGATCATGCAGGATCAGATTCTTGAGCTTCCAATTTTTCACATGAAGGATCAAGAGTATCAGCTTGTTGGGCTGCCTGCAGTTCAGAAGCCAGGTCTTTATACTATATCAGTCAGCAAATTCATGAATACAGGAAGGAATTTGATTCTCAATCAGACTGCAGAGATTGATATCTTTCTCTATTGCACTTGAGATATCTTCTTTTTGTAAAATAGCTAAGATAAATAGTTGAATGAATCAGATTCTTCTAAGTACTAGTAATCAGATTAACCTGGCATCTCAAGTAAGGGATCAAGTGAGGCATGGAGGTTATAGAGCTGTTACAACACTGTTGCCAGGCTTGTTGCCAGGCTCTCTGTCACATAAATCCAAAGCCCTTTATGTGACTGCCTGCAGGTTACATGGCAGAAGGGTCAACATGACAGGAAGAGTAATGATGTGGATGTCATTACCTGTCAGATTATGTGTTGGATTTTTTTACCATATTGGGACAGTGGAGCTACAGTTAATCGGGCCTACAAATTTCTGCTATGGGAACTGGCCACGGCCGCATGTTGTTTGATGGCCGACGGTGAAAATGCCGGCATTAACGAGTCTGTATGCCATGTTTTACCAATGATATTCGCATCGGTCGCGAGAAAGGAACCAGATTTAAATAGGAATCTGTATCAGAAAGAAACTCTTCGTGGTATTCAGATCGACCGGCGAGGCATATGATGCGGCGTCGTTTTCATATAGATCCACGCAGACGAACAGATATAACGCTGTTACCCGGACCTGAAAAGAGATGGCGCAGCATACCCAATCGGGAATGAAGCGATTCGTCGGTGTATGGAGCCATATTATTTTGGCGCATTGCTGGTTGACAACTTGACGTGCATCCTCTCCCACCTTTCTGCTTGGCTAGGTCAATGGAAATTGATATATGGCCTAGTTAGTGTACGGGCAGTTCTCCATCAGGTCCGAAATCCACACCAAGGAATATTGGAGGACACCACTGGCACAGAGTTCGTCTTAAGATACGGTAACTTAGAGCAAGATGGCAAAGTAACTTGATCAATAGTTAACCAAACAAGCCTTTGGCCCTGTGAGCTTAACCGGCTTAAGCTCTCTGCACTTGATTTCTTTTTTCAGCATCATATCAAGACGCTTATTCAAGTTGGAAGACGATATAATTGAGACGGTTAACTAACCATAGTGTATATAACTTATGCTGAACCCCACTAGCCCATGACCCTGTAGTTAGATGAGAAAGACCAACGCGAATGCCTTCAGCAATACTACAACATATCACTCGTCCACACCAACATGACAAGCCTCGTTATTTTCGACTTTGATGGCACTCTGTTCGATACCCACGGGTCCATCGAACACTCCATCAAACTCACCTTTGCCGACCTGCTACCATCTCACGTCCCCCCACAATCGGAAATCCACCGCTTGATTTCTAGCGGCGCGGGTCTATCAGACACATTTCGCGCCCTCCACCCCGATGCCGCGGCATTCACCGCTTCAGAAACCAAATGGATCGACAAGTATCGTGAACTATACGCAGTCCACGGCCAGTTACTGATAAAAGCCTTCCCTGGCGCAAAGTCCCTCCTCGAGGAACTGAAGGCTCACCACATCCCCACCGCCATCATCAGCAACAAAGGGGTTACAGCCGTCCAGACTGCTCTGGACCGCAACGGGCTGGGTGAATGTGTCCCTGAAGATCTGATTATCGGGGATAAAACTCCAGGAGCGTTGCGAAAACCTGATCCCTCCAGTTTCGCTCATGTCCTGGTCCCTGCCTTGAAAGCCCGTGGAATAACAGATGTGCGACCCGGCCAGGTGCTCGTCGTTGGCGATACCGTGGCTGATATTCAATTTGCCAAAAATATTGAAGGGCGAGCATGCTGGTGCCGGTATGGATATGGGGATCGCGAAGCGTGTGAGGCGATGAAGCCGGATTTCGTCGTTGATTCGTTGGATCAGGTTGTTGCTATTGTGAAGGACAACTGAGTGACTTGAACTGGTGACGGGGGCCGGTCAATTGCATCTTTTTTGCAGGCGATAAGTCAAGAAGATAGAACTGTGGCTGGGTAGATTGGTCTGATGGGTTTTTAATGGAAACAGCCAACATGATCCGGGAAATGGTTTCAGCTAAGTAATTAGGGTACATATATGGTGAAATAAGGTCGACGGACCCGAAAAGCATATTAAAGATCCAGAGAACTAGAGCATTTGGGTGTCCAGCGGATTTACATATACCATACCATCCAGACACAAGAGATTAATCCAAATCGCCATTGTCGATTGCATAGTCCAAACCTCCCATTGGAGCCCTCCACAAGCATCATTGCCCTTTTACTTTCCACCCTTCGCGACCTCGTAGCTTTGCGCTAAGCACCAGTAGCCGGGAACATGATCAGTCCAGATCTTGCCAAACCCTTCAATATCATTGCGCCAATCCCGATGGAGCTCGGCCGCAATGGCCACCCAATTCAGAAGCTGAACACCATGCTGCGACAGCCGCTTGTGAGCTGTTTCCCGGGTATGTTCTGAAAAGGTCCCTGAGCAATCAGTGGCTACGAATACCTCGTAGCCCTGCTCAACCAAGCTAAGGGCAGGAAAGGTGGCACAGACTTCAGTCAAGACACCGCTGACGGGGCATTATCAGCATGGTGATGCACAAGGAAGGGGAATATGCAGGATTACCTGACGACCATTTGCTTCTTACCCGTCTTCTTGATAGCGTTGACGAATTCCTCATTGTCCATCGCGTTGATCTGGCCAGGACGACGGATGAGAGGAGCGTCAGGAAGCCCTCTGGCTATCTCCTTGACAATGGGGCCATTTGGTCCAGAGTCAAAGGACGTAGTGAGAATCGAGGGGATCTTGAAGTATTTCGCGATGTCAACTAAGGCTTCGACGTTGTTTTTGAATTCATCTGCTTCAAAATCGCGAACCAATTGAATCAGACCGGACTTCAGAGCGTCTAGTTAGTCACATTGCAGTTTTCCTCTTGATGGCTCGGAGAATCACCTGGTGATCAATAAAAAGAAACGCGCAGTTCTCTCTGTCGAGACGGGTATATTTTGGAGCCATTGCTTGTTATTGCGGTTTCTGTAACGTCCACTGAGATTTTCGTGCATGCTTTGCGGATGATTGGGGGCCGTATTTATATCAAGAAGCATTTTGAAATAAGCTCTATGATGCAATGCAGCCACATCAGCGCGGAGGTCAAAGTCTAGATGCTTTGAAGAGGAGCGCGGAAAACTGAGATGGATGGATGAGCCAAAGTTTCACCGGAATACCCTCCAGGATATCAAGCACCCAAGTATAGACTTGGACCTCCCTATTCTCAGGTGTCTCAACCCAATGGCACTGAGATGCAGATGGATCATGGTCTGTTGTGTAAATCAGCTCGCATTGACGCCGGCTCAGTAGATATATATCAGCAATTAATCACACTGGTAACCATCAATCGCCATCATAAACGCCAAGCCAAATTTGATGCTCACAAAAAGTAATCAGACGCTTTTATACACCCAGGATTGTCATGCGAAAATACTCTCTTTTGCGGGAGCTTCAGTTTCGTATTCGATTTCGATTCGAGCGCCCTTCTTGCGAGGCTTAGGAGCCGGAGCAGTCCGCTTCCTCTTGGCTCCAGGAGCATCCTTCGTTTGAGGCCCTTCATCTTCACCACTCTCCTCATCTTCTTCACTGCTTTGATCGTCATCATCGTCATCGAGGCTGTCATCTCCGCTGCCCTCACCGATCCAATCTTCAATATCCTCCAAGTCCTCATCTTCGTCGAAATCACTGACATACTCCACTTCACCCACGCCTTCTTCCTCAAACTCGCCCTCTTCCTCCAGTTCTTCCTCAATGCCCACATCCAGATCCTCGTCCCGTTCACCTTCTCCCTGCCGCTCTAAGCCTCTGAGGACCTTCTTCCAGATATTTTCCTCTACATTCAATGGGCGGTCGCCGTAAGCGCCGCTTCTCAATCGCTCGATAAGCTCTCGCTCAATAGCCCTTTCCACCTTTGCAGCAGCCTCCGCCTTTCGTTCCCTGGTAGCCTCTCGATGTCGAACCTTTGGCGCGAGCCTCGGCACCAGTTTTTCTCCCAGCCGCTCCTCCTCTTTCGCAAGTCGTCGCATGCGAATGCTCACTTGCGTGAGTCGCGTCAGCCGCTGCTTGCATTTGTGAACTAGGAATTTCGGCCAGTATATCAGCCGCTCATCAATTTGCTCAAGGGCCTTTGTGTAGTTGGATGGCAAACGTATTCGCTCCCACCATTTGTTGGGCATATGCGACCGTTCGATCGTCTTCATGTAGAGGTACATGGCGCCGGTCGCCGGATCCGATCGTACGGTGGCGTAGCGGGAGTTTGCGAGAGGACACGATTGACGGTTGCAGAGACCGGTGACATTGTATTCATTCCGACAAAAGTTCTGACCCTTGGTGGTTCTACAGGAAGCGGTATTAGCATGGCGGCCGCTCTCAAAAATCTGAACAGAGAGCAGTTAAACAGCAGGGAGCATACTTTAACTTGAACGAGCAAAACTGCTGGTTTATCACCTGCCAGACAATTTCATCAGATGCCATGTTTACGCTCGCACCGACAGCGCGGGTATTTCTTGATATTTTTCGAGTCTCGAGCAAAGCTCCAAAATTAATTTTTGATAAACAGAAAGTTTTGACTTCTGCTTACGTGATGATTCATGGTGCCAAGAAGATTAGATAATCACGCACTTGAGCTCGCAGAGAGTCCCAGGTGCTACTTCTCGTCGTCTTTGCATCAGTCACAATATTGTATAGGTTTGCCGTTATTTCACCAAAGGTTGGAACCATATCCTCTATTGATATCAGACCATGGTATCAACATTGACTGTTTTCTGGTTGGACTTCACCATGCCAGAAATGGGGCTTCGAGAAAAACCCTGTGAATCACGCTTTGGCTGCCTGAATCTCAGTGTGTTTTGGGAGCAGGTATTGCTATCAACAAGCTTGTGGTCAATATATTTTCACTGTCTCCCCGTGGGTTCACTTGGGCCTTCCACCAAGAGCACATTAGGACTGGAAATTCTCCATTGGAACTTCGCTGCTTTTGCATA